GCAGGAGTGGCACTTTCTCGACACCACAGGGGGTGCGCAGAGGGTGGTCCCTCAGCGCGGCCTCTATCCGTGACACGCTCGCAGATCGTGGCAGGAGTGGCACTTTCTCGACGCCACAGGGGGTGCGCAGAGGGTGGTCCCTCAGCGCGGCCTCTATGCGTGACACGCTTGCAGATCGTGGCAGGAGTGGCACTTTCTCGACACCACGGGGTGTGCGCAGAGGGTGGTCCCTCACCGCGGCCTCTATCCGTGACACGCTCGCAGATCGTGGCGGGAGTGGCACTTTCTCGACACCACAGGAGGTGCGCAGAGGGTGGTCCCTCAGCGCGGCCGCTATGCACGACGGTCGTCCATGACATAGCAGGCGTGGCACTTTCTCGACGCCACAGGGGGTGCGCAGGGGGTGGTCCCTCACCGCGGCCGCTATGCACGACGGTCGTCCAGGGCATATCAGGCGCGGCATGTTCTCGACACCATAGAGGCTGCGCAGGGGGTGGTCCCTCACCGCGGCCGCCATGCACGACGGTCGTCCAGGGCATAGCAGGCGTGGCACTTTCTCGACACCACAGGGGGTGCGCAGGGGGTGGTCCCGCAGCGCGGCCGCTGGCTGGCTCGAATCTGTCACCGATGGAGGATAGGAGGCTCGGAAGAGGGAGGGGGTTCAAGCAATATGGCGTTGGATGACACAGAGGGGAACATTCGCGACGAGGGCTGAGAACGCAGAATTGCGCATCTATTTAACTTAAGCAGGCACATGCTATTTAGATTAAGTATGTGGGATTCCTCGGTAGCGTAATTGATACTACGAGTGCTATAATATCATTACTAGTGCTACTACTACTATTGCTACAACTACTACTACTACTACTACTACTACTACTACTACTACTACTACTACGACTACTACGACTACTACTACGACTACTACTACTACTACTACTACTACTACTACTACTACGACTACTACTACTACTACTACTACTACTACTACTACTACTACTACGATTGCAACTACTATTTTTACCGCTATTAGTACTCGACTATGATTGCGACTACGGCTTCGACAACGACGACGACGACGACGACTACTACTATTACTAGTACTGGACAACCTCGCAATAGTAAGCATCATCGTAGTACATATATCAATAACTGGTACATCATGCTACGTGTATTAGTAGCAATACGAGTAACACTACTACGCATAATGCGACTACGCATAAGAACTACTACCAATGCGAATGTTAATCTGAATGCGCGCGCTACTACTAAGAAGACTGGTGCAGATATTACGCATGTCACGTGTAACACGCATGATACACATACTACGAATACGAACACGAGTACGGACACGAACACTAGTATCCATAGTATCACGAATAGTACGACTAAGCATACGACGAACAGTGACACTACTATCAACACTGATACCACGAATAATGGTAAAACGAATCATATCCATACCAACCCTATTCTTATGACGTCTCCTAATGATACATATCATGCTCAAAGTGTTCCTAATAATGTCCCAGTCGGAAGACACACATTACTAAGACTCGGACTAGGAAGACGACGAGGAGGCGGAGGAGGAGGAGGAGAACGGAGGCGGAGGAGGAGGAGGACGAGGACAACGGAGGAGGAGGAGGGGGAGGAGGACAACGGAGGAGGAGGAAGAGGAGGATGATGCTGCTGCTGCTGCTGATGATGACGATGATGATGATGATGATGATGATGATGATGATGATGATGATGATGATGACGATGACGATGACGATGACGATGACGATTATGATGATGATGATGATGATGATGATGATGATGATGATGATGATGATGATGATGCTGATGATGATGATGATGATGATTGAGAGAGGAGGAGGTATGAGGAGGGGATGAGGGGCATTGAGCAGGGGCTTTGAGGATGGTGAGACGAGGAGGAGGAGTAGAGGAGGAGGAGACTTGAGAGAGGAGGAGCAGGCGGACGATGATGAGAATGGATGGGACGGAGGAGGAGGAGGAGGAGGAGGGAGCAGGACAGGACAGGAGGACGAGGAGAAGCGGGAGCAGGAATGAGGAAGAGGAGGAGGAGGAGGAGGAGGAGGAGGAGATGAGGAGGAGGAGGAGAGCTGAACGTAAAGAGGAGGATGAAAGAGGAGGAGGAAGAGGAAGGGATGGGGAGGTGGAGTGGGAGGAGGGGACCCAAGAGGAGGAGGAGGAGGAGGAGGAGGAGGAGGAGGAGGAGGAGGGTGAGGAGGAAGACGAGGAGGAGCAGGACCGGATGAGGAGGAGGAGAGGAGAGAGAAGGAGGAGGAGGATGAGGAGGAGGAGGAAGGGGAGGGAGGGTTGAGGATGGGTGTTTATGGATGGTTGGGTTTGGGATGGGGAAGGAGGGATGAGGGGAGGGAGGGAGGGAGGGCGGGCGGGCGGGCGGGCGGGCGGGAGGGAGGGAGGGAGGAGGAGGAGGGATTGGGAAGGACTGGGGGGAGCGGGGAGGGGGGAG